GAGGGAACAGACGTGCAGAGGCCCAATGACAAGAGAAAGCTTGAAGCATTTGAGGAACCCAAAGTCCTATAGGCCTGAGGGACAGACTGTGTTTTTACAGGTATTCATTTTTCTATTTGTGCATATAGGTTATACACCGAATGTGAAATACAGTTCCTCCTTCCCTCCAGAAAAAAAAAAACTATATACTTTGCATAAAATGGCCTATATATTGATTTTGTGCATCAAATAGTTACAAAACTTCTCTCCTCATTAATCCATAATCTACAATCACTAGCTGAGATGTTAATTAGGATTCATAGAATTAGCAGATTAATTTGGAGAGAACTGAATGCCATATCTTCCCACCCATGAGCATAATATATGCCTCTGTTTACCGACGTTTTCCTCCTTCAATAGTTTTATCATTTTCTCCGTAAGAGCTTTGTATATTTTTCTTAGGTTTATTCATAGGTACTTCATGGCTTCTGTTGCTACTATGAATATTACATTTTATTTTATTACACCTTCTTTTCTGTCATCACTGGCTTGATGAAATGCTATTGATTTTTATGTTTATTGCCTTTTAATTTTATAAAAGTGTGGGGGGAAGAACATAAAGCAATGTCTTGTCATCATGGTCCTTTTTTCTTCTTGGGGATTCATCTCTGGGAATTAAAACAAAGGACAGAGTAAACAATGTCCCTCGCCCCCACTCCAACACTGCACTGGATGGATCCGTTTGAAGGCAGAATTCCATTCTCATTACTACTGCACCCCCTAGTGGAAAAACAGACTGAATGCGTCCTATAGAAAGCTTCCACAGAAAGTTTTGGTACTTACTTTTCCTTAAAAATTTAAAACAGAAATCTTTTCTTAAAGAAAAGCTTCTTTTTTAAAAAATTTATTGTATTATGAATACTCATGAGATACAATGCTGATTGTCACCCCTCGTGGCATAATGTGAGGGTCAGATTCATACTGGAAGCATACCCATTACCAGAAATTGGCCTTTGTACCCTGTGTACCCCATCCAGTTATCCCCACCTCCCTCCTCCTCCCCCTATCCCCCCACTCCACTTTGTATCCCAAAGAATGGTCTCTCCCTCTGCAAGACCAATGCACTACTGTGGACTTTCTTTCCTTCCTTCTTTCTCTCTTAGCTCCCACATATGAGTGAGGACGTGCGGTATTGTGTGCTTTGCTTATTTCACTCAGGGCTGGCTGGTTAGCTCAGTTGGTTAGTGCAGTGTTGATAAGATCAAGGTCAAGGGTTCCAATCTCCGTAGCAGCCAGCCACCCAAAACAAAAACCCAGAAGAGCTTCTTTAAAGACATTGTCACAGTTTCCCGCTAGAAAAGATTGATAAACTTAGGGAATTATTGCTGGATGAGGGTCTTATTAATATGAACTTACATAAACTATATGAAAGAAATATTTATAAGCTGCATATCAATATACAAAGTTATTTTTTAATGGATTGTGTATTTCAGAATCATCACTGTAAACACCAATGATGATAGTTGAGTATTTTACATACAAACCTACAAACTGGAGTAAATATAAGCTCAAGGCAAGACATTGGCTTTGCTTTTATATTGCAGTTACATAATTTCCTCATGGGTACACACACCGCACTGTTGTTGAGCATTAGCTACTCTAAAATAGCAAAACAACAAAAAAAATGGCTTTGTCAAACTAGACATTTGAAAGAGCTGTGCATTTCAATCTCCACTTCTACCTTTCAGTTCTTTCTGGAATCTACTCC